CCACAGGAAGTGGATGATATTCTGGAAGTATGGACTCCACCTTTTGGCTGTGTTATAGCTGGAGATTTTAATGCTGGCGACATATCCTAGGACTCGAGCAATCCAGGATATCACGGTGGCGTCATACTGGCACAGACTATGGCAGACCACGGACTGGATCTTATTTCTGAACCAGATGTCCCAACACATGACGATGGAAATGTACTGGATCTGGTGTTCTCAGATGTCCCCATGGCTGAAGCCTCAGTCAATGATGCACTTCAGTGCACCTCAGATCATGAGACATTACGAATAGTCATTCCAATTCAGGGAGATCGGGACCGAGTTCCCAAGGCCAATCATTAGATAGTACAGGACGATAAACTACAAGAGCTGGCAGACTATGTCCAAACCAGGATTCATGAACTCCCCCGGCTGGGTGTATCCCCTGGCCAGGTGGATACCTTTACACAAAGCTTGATCAATATGATTCAAGGCTGTATCAGGACAGTGGGCAAGAAGCCCCGTCAATCTAGGCCCACTGCTTAGTGGAATGATGACTGCAAAGCAGCTGTTCAGACATACAGGGCCCTTTCTAAACAGACCACAAGCTAAAAAGGGCGAAATTCAGCCCGACAGGAATTTCGCTGTGTGGTCCGAAAAGCTAAGAGAGAGTACTGGCAGACTCTAATTGATTCAGCGACTGAACCAAAAGACCTGTACAGAATTGTTTCCTGGCACAAGCTGTTAGCAGGATTACGTTCCCCCCTAATCATCATAGGGGACCAAATCTTTGAGTCATAAGAGAGCAAGGCAAATGCACTACGCTTAACCACGCTTGAACGAAGTACCCCAGACAACAATATCATCGACCCCTGGTCTGCTCAGATCACACAAGCCAAGCCACACATCCCCCTTAAATACCATGTCGGACTAGAAGAGGCTGAAGGGTGCACTATAGGGACCAAAAGCAACTCCCCAGGAATAGACACCCTCACAGTACGGATTCTGAAAGCTTGCTGGCCAGTCATTGGGGAGCATATCAGAGCCCTTTTTCAGACCTGTCTACAGATTGGACACCACCCTAAACCATTCAAAATAGCTGAGGTAGTGATGATCCCAAAGCCAGGCAAGAAAGACTACTCTAACACCAGGGCCTACAGACCAATATCGCTATTATCATGTCTTGGCAAAGGCCTAGAACGACTCATTACAAAAAGAATTGCCTGGTTTGTCATCAAACTCGGAATTCTAGCTCCACAACATTTTGGAGCTCTGCCAAAGCGCTCTGCCGCCGACTTGGTAGCTGCACTCATACACGATATTGAGCAGGCCCTTGACCAAGGCCTTGTTGCAACGGTAGTCACAGCAGATGTAAAAGGGGCCTTCGACGCTGCCCTAATGGGACGGCTAGTGGTTCGCATGAGAGAACAGGGCTGGCCAGACTTTCTCATAAGATGGGTCCAGTCATTCATGTCTGAACGGTCCGCAAGAGTTCGGTTTGAAAGTATTGTGACCGACATAAAAGCTCACTTGTGGGCTACCACAAGGCTCACCAGCTTCTCCAATCCTTTATATGCTGTATACAGAGCCAATCTGTGCCCGACTCGGTATGAAAAGGAGACGCTTTGGATATGCAGACGACCTAGCGACTCTCTGTATTGGAAAGGACCTTAAAGAAATAACCAAAGAGGCTTCTGAAAATCTTTACCTGCTTAACCAATGGGGACATAACAATGCTATTGAATTTGATCCCGACAAAACCGAGATCATGCACTTCTCACGGAAAAAGAACTCAGACAATCCTCCGGTCTGCCACAGGACAATAAACAGAACAGCAAAGAACTCCATGCGATGGCTGGGTGTCTTCCTGGATAGAAAACTGAACTTCAAAAATCACGTTTCTTACTGGGCCAAGAAAGCTAATAGGGTAGCAAACCACCTTCGAGGACTATACAACACAGTCAAAGGACTTCCAGTAAAGTCAATGAAGAGGGCTGTGAAAACTTGTGTTATTCCTATTCTTACACATGGCCTGGAGGCCTGGTACCCAGGAATAGAAAAAATTAGGAGCTTAGGTGGGACATCAGCATGTCGCATTAAAGGGCTTCTTAGAACGATAGATGCTGTACTACGAACGGCAATCAGAGCTATCTTGCCAGTCTGGAAAACACACCCTGGACATATCCTACACTTTGAATCACAGATTCCTCCAGCAGGAATTCTTGCAGAGTCAATAAGAAGACGTCACGGCCTCCGACTCGGACAAGTAGACCAGAGACACCCTCTTGTTGGCAGGCTCTAAATACAAGCTCGCAAGGAACCAACAAGGCTACAAAGGAGCTTCCAACTAGTCCCTGACTTCTAGAGACCAATACTCACCAAGCCATTATGGAAGAAGCCCCCAGTCCGTAAAGACAAAGACAAAGAAACAGAGCTCTTTAAGCAATGGTTACAGGAAAGAAATGCGAACACTGACCTTGTCATCTATTCAGATAGATCATAATTGGACGACCAAGGCACAACCCGCACTGGATGGGGCTATACTATCAGGAAAGGCGGCACTACACAAAAATATACCAGGGAAGGGGCAGACTTCTACAAGCAGAAGTAGTGGATGCTGAAGTCTATGGTGCTCTCCAAGGTCTTGCAGCAGCCAGGGCAATTGGACACAGAAAACAGCTATATGTCTGCCTGGACAACACATCAGTGGTGGATGGGCTCAATGGGACTCCACCTGAGACATCACAGAAAATTTTTCTGCGATTCCAAGAACTCGCCACAGCACACACTCCTGGAGTGACCGTCAAGTGGATTCCTGGACACAGAGATATTGATGGTAACAAAGCTGCCGATATATTAACAAAAGAGGGTACTATGCTAGAAATAGACACAACAAACCTTCCTACAATCTCTTGGGTCAAGAGAGATCTCAAGAGAAAGGGCAGAAAGGAGTTCAACCAATGGTGGAAAGACCAATCAGAATCTAGGTATCTGTTGGATAACAGGGGTCATGAAGATGAGCCGAGTCCGACCGGAAAAACCACGGTACGGCGGAGATGACCAGCACCAAACTGGGAACCGATCAGGGGCACCTGAACAGACAGAACAGATACAAGACACTACATGCAATACACGAAGAATCACCCTCCAATCACTGAACTCGCTTGAATCCAACAGTATCAAGAAGTATACTCACACACAGTAACTGAAAGAGACCTGATATCTTTTAAGAGGAGTACTTTACACAGACTTCTAGCGGCCAGATCTGGACATGGCGACTTTGCCAGATACCATGAACGCTTTGGGCATACAGACTCAAATGACGATTGCAGTTGTGGTGAAAAGAAAACACCACAACATATTTTCTTTTGTAAGAGACTGGGAAAAAATTGGCTACTGCCTAGGTACTCGCCTAAGACAGCTTGTTTACAATACTTAGGGGAGAGGAGCATAGAATGGGCAAAATTCGTGGAGAAGAGCAAGTTCTTTTCAACAATCTGTCCCTAATAGATAGCTTTTCTCGAAGGACCAGATGGATGACCCCAAGGTCATACCGCCGCAACAACGGGGATGGGCCCGTGAGCGGGACTGACTGTACTTATTATCTTGAGACCTCCACAACCCTGCGATGCAGAGGCTCTGGGAGGCGTGGTTTGCACTACTGAGGAGCTACCCCCCACGTTAAATACAAAACAAACAAAACAAACAACAACGGATAGTAGATAGACCATACACAACACAACAACGCTGCGTCGTCTATACCGACGACACCACGATTCGGATTTTGCCCTCACGAGGGCGCTCGTGGCAGCATGAGCACACACATGCTGCTTTGCGCGTGCAGTGATGGCTTGAGGTTGATGTTACGGTATTACATAATACCTCCACATATTTATGTACATATATACCCCTAGCTTCCCCGTTCTCTTCCGACCTTGCCTCTTCTTCCTTAGATATCGTTGAATCTAGATATTTCAACCCATCAACCCTGACCAGCGCAGCTGCAGGCCTGATTGTCACAGTTGAGCGGAAGGCTCCTATCAGCATCACCGGTTACGGCATCAGGTGCGAAGCCCTCGTCACGGAGCTGGACCAAGCACCGCATCCAGAAGGCAAGGGCATCATCAGCATCATCACACAAGGAGAGAAGTCCCCTGGCCACGATGGCAGAGGCACCAGAAGGAGACAAATCCACCACGCCACAGGTGGCACACGTACAGAAACCCTCTGACGACGAGGCAAGCACGGAAGTCCACCAGGCCACAGATGGCACACGCACGGCGGAAGGTGTCAATCGTAGACGAGGGCGCTGGCGAGCGAGCGACGTGCGGCACACGGTGACACAACACGGTATCACAACGACTGCAGCAAGTCCCAGATCCTGAGAGATGACGAGACGAAAAGGCCTCACGAGGGCGTGTGGTCTTGGTGAAGACGACGGTCTGGTTCGATCACGACGTCGTGGAGGATGATAAATCGTGGTCGCAGCCGGCGCCGGCGGGGTGAGCATCGTCGCCTATAATCAAGCCGTTCGTGACAATGGCGTGCGACAAGATGTAGGAAGCCGAGTTTGGGCCAGCATACACCACTTCTGTCCCGTAGCCACATCATACTGATGAAGTCGACAATGGTCAGGCGATCGATCCGCCCACATACTCGTCGTTGGGAATCACTGCTCATATCCAAAGTGGTTATCACTCCAAGAAGCATGGCGAATGCACCCACGTTGGCTGTGTTCGTAGTGTAGTATCAACGTGTCTCAACGCCACGCTCTTGATGACGCGAAATGTGCTAATGCCTTATGTACGCAACCGCCAAGGGCCGTAGTAATTTGGAATAACGCTTGCTTGGCTTTTTCACATCACCTTCAACGAGCTCATTTCTTTGAAGGCTCCAACAAATTATTCGTTACTAGCATACTCCTGTTGCTGAACGTCGAAATACGAGTTCGAGGCGCTCTGCGCAAAAGTGTCTTGACTGTTGAAGAAAAGGGCGGAACTGGCTCCATCGGCATTTGGCTACGCGGCTAGCTCGGCTTGTCGAGCTAATTCGTCCTCGACTTTTGATGACCCAATGACCTCCGAGTTCTCGTGGGTGTACTCAACACCCTTAGAAGCGAGAATGGCCTGGATGGGGTCTATAGCCAGCTTATGTGAGTAGGTGGCCGGAATGCGTATTACGTTCCTTATCTTCTCGATGTACGATTCTGCATGAAAGACGTTAGTCTTGTGGATATTACAGCCAAACTAGTGCGACTTACTACCCATATAAGCCCGGTGTCGAAGGTGAGACCGAAGGACTTTTACCTAAGCAGGAGAAGACCTCGCCGAGACAGCCATAATGACGATGGACATTAAAGGCACGCCGGTCGCTGTAGTATCGCTCACTAAAAGCGGGCTCGCATTTACGAATAGACCATAATGGTTGTCTCCAGATTTCCGGGTGTTATTGTAGGCCCTGCTGTTCTATCCTTGACAGGGTCAACGGGTTCGGAACCGACCCAGGTGTTGAGGTTGACTTCCCTATCACCGAACAAGGCCCGCTGGAATGCGTACTTTAACTCGACTGTGACCTTTGGCTCCATCACGTTCAGTGAGCTTCGCTTGCACTGACTTGTACTGATTCGTAGGCGTAGATCGGGAGGTCACTATCCTCGAATGTCCGGTACTATATGGACTGAACGTTGGCGGACATGTTGGTATTGGTAGCCGCACTGGTTCATGCCGATACGTTGAAGAATACGGTCGTATTACGAGGCGGACCCATTGCGAGAGCCTTGCCGGTTTCCTCCCAATGAATCGATATTTGCTCATACACTCTCTCGACACTGTCTCCTCTTCGGTCGCGGCAGAGCCTGACTTGGTTTTATGATCGATACAATTTCTCAATCTGCTGGATGGGAAACACGAAGTCCAGGTCACTATGCAAATCATTATTCCAGTGGTTTGGGTGGTGATCAGAGTCCCGGCAAGGCCCCTTGCATGTGCGGACGACAAGGTGGGAAACACCGCGGCAGTCCAATTCCAGGTCCCGCAGAAGGCGTTGCAGGAGCCGCTTCCTCGGCGACCATCAACGGGCGTCACAGGGCTGACACTGACAGATAGGTAGCGGACGACACTGGATCCCGTTTCTCCTAAGGTTCCCCATTCCCCATTCTTTCGGGGTTCCATAACAAGGGCTCTGTCCATCTGGAGACTGCCCCCACCAGATCCACTGCTCTATATACAGATCACACTTAAAATAGACAATACATCACTTTTGCCACTTGAGCTCCAGCAGTATAGTTCGGTGTGTGCGATAATTCTATGTCGAAACGTTTTACCCCTGGCGGCACGTCGGGCCCCTTGCGGTCGGAAAGCTTAATAATAAGTCCTGCAACTATCTTGCCACGACGGTCATCCCGTCATCGTAAATACACTATAATCCTAACGCTATCGTTTCAGCAGACAAACTTATACGAGCCACCAGTGCCGGAAAAGTCCCGGCAGTCCTTCAACGTCGCGGGGATTGTCTCCGTCCCAACCGTGCAAGCCTTGTCGCTGAATAGGAGCAGCTGGCAGGTCCCGCTGAGGGTGTACCCGATCGAGGCGCCTTGTTGGAGGCTGCATGTGGTGGATGCATGCCCGTAGAAATTGACGTTGCCTGTGCAGTTGCTGTAAAAGTACTGGCTGACCGACCCTGAGGATGAGTTTGCGGTACTTGGTGTCGGTTGTGAAGGGGCAGTCGTCGAGAGCGGTGTCGCGTCCGAGGATGTGGAAGAGGTGGCAGCTTGCTGATCTGTAGTCTTCCGTATCAGAGGCGGGTTAGTCTTAGGATTTGAGAGAACTACGGAGCAGGCCTCACAGATGATGGATTGGTCACCGAGGAGGTGTCTCTTTGTTTGTTGAGTTGTGTCGCAAGGACGCCGCCGAGGACAGCTGCTAGGATCACAGCAAAAACGACAATGGCGGTGATGAGCTTGCTGTGGTTCTTGGTATTGACGGCCCAGTGACTCGAATTATCTCGGTCACCAGTGTGAAACCTGGAGTTCCCAGAAACAATGTTGCTATTAGCTTCCCGAGTCGAGTGACTAACATTGCCGTCTAGTTCCCGGGTTGATTGATCAGGGCTCACGAAGCTGCCTTCGTGCAGTGGCGTGTCCATGGTGCAGAGGTCTAGTAACACAGGACGGGAGGGTCACAACGAAGCTTCTGAACTGGGGTACGCATCGGACAGTTGGACTATTAAGTGAAGCAGATGGGATGGGACGCGGCTGCAACACCCCCTTTTTGACATTTGGCCCCCACGTCATCGTGCGTGCAAAGGTCCCAAGCTTTCCAAAAAAATTCCCAGTCTGTCTCAGCTACTATAAGATCTTTGTCTTAATTCGTTGTAATAATAGATTAGAGGAGGCATATACTTCAGCTCTTGTCCTGTCACTCCATCTAGCTGGGCGTATACCGCTGCTTCGTCTACTGTGAGCCAGGCCACAACAAGGCGGAGCCGACGAGGCAGCCAACGAGGCAGCAGACGAGGCAAACCCCATTGCAACCCTATTGCAACCATCACGTAAATAGCCACGTGGTGGCCGAGGAATTTATCTCCAACCAGTAGAGTCAAGTGTTGGCGGGGTTCAATGATGGCACAGCCATGCATTCATCTGAGCGCCGGGCCGTACGGCGCAATGGTCAAATGCGCCTGGTTGTGTTCTCGTTTGTGCGGTGGGCGACGAGAACAAGTGGGTTCGAATCCTGCTATGGCCCCCTTTCTGACCCGGCTTGTGCGAGTCGATAACCAGCACACGACAGTGGAGAGGCCCCATTTTATCGCAGAACCCAATAGCCAAGCAGCTTGTCTCCACAATACCCACTCCTGCGAGGTTTTCCCCCTTGTGGTTTCCCTCGCTAGCAGATAACAAACACCTACTCCACCCACCAATGCGACATATATCGAACGGCTACTGGAACGATATGTACACCAGAGAACTGAGGTTCACTGGGTCGCTTTGTCACTAGATAGGAGGTTTTTCTGACGGAATCGTGCTTGGGTATTGACTAAAACCATCTGAACACTCCAGATTGGTACCGCTACAGCGAGGATAGGCTCGTGCGCGGATCTGAATGTATCTAATTTGACACCTCTACAACCTTGCGATGCAATGGCTCTGGGAGGCGTGGTTTGCACTACTGAGGAGCTACCCCCCACGTTAAATACAAAACAAACAAACAAACAAACAAACAAACAAACAAACAAACAAACAAACAAATAAACATCTGAGCGCCGGTTAAACCCAATAGAAGTATCACTGCTTACACCGGTCGAATCTCTCCATACACAAAATGGATCTTGTTGGTACAGTTGCGGCATCTATTCAACTACTGGGCTTCTGTCACTCAACTGCGAAAGTCTTACACCAGATCACCCAACACATGAAAGACGGGCCAGCAGCGTATCGAGAACATCTGGACACTATCAGGTCACTGTTACAGATAGTGGGCCAAGTCCAGCACCAACCGACAACGGACCATCTCATAGGTTCGATTGTCAACATATCCAGACACGCGGCCGATATACTGAAACAGCTGGAGCAACGCTCATCGTTCTTCTATAGCGTCATCTACGCACTTTCACTGCATTCTTCTCTCACAGAGCACTTTGATACTCTCGAAACTCAACGAGACCTCGTCCATTTCCAGTTGTCCTGCGACAGCCACCGCGTGCTATCAAACCTCGAGCACCGGTTCCTAGAGCTTCCCAGCCCACCACCTGTTCAATCAGAAGACAATATGCCTCGCGAGGAGATCAAGGTTCGCAAGGTAAGCTGAATCTGATTAAACTCACACCTACCAATCATCGGTCCTGATATAATCGGGGGACAAAAGTCTCTGTACAGCCCCATTTCTGGACCCCTGACCTGCTACACCTCACGACTCAATTGAACCACAACACACTCAATTCTGGTCAGAAAATTCTCAGATAAATTGCATTCGATAGCCCGTTCAGTAATGCGTGTACTATCCACCAGCGCGCCTGCATGCGGCGATGCGATCGCGAACAGACTCGATCAGCACGCGTACCTGCTCAGGATCGATCTCGGACCACGCCTTCTCAATTAACTCGTGTGCGTACTGGTAATGAGGGATATTGTCCTTCAATTCGGAGAATTCAGGCTCGATAACACGTATCTGCCTCTTCAGAAGTCGCCAGACATGCTCGATGGGATTGAGATCGGGGCTGTGAGGAGGCCAGTCGATACAGTGAATCCCGTGCTCTTTTAGCCACTCCGGAACACCTCCTGAGAGGTGGATTTTCGCGTTATCTTGAACAAAAGGATCTCCAGTCTCATAGAAGGGAAGGAGGCCGTTCTCAAGGACCTATTTATATGACTCTGTGGATACTCCTCCGCGCGGAGCATCCGGATTGAGTGGTCAGAAGATCAATTTGCCCAGTCCTCCTTCTCCATTGCGTAGCCAGATCTGAGACCACACCATTATCGAAATACGAGGCTTTCTGTGACTCGTGGGGTTCACGAGATCGTAACGGTACCGCTCTGACGAGTATCGAATAACCCAATCGCCTGGATTATCCGATTCATTTTGGACCGTACACTCGTCAGAAAACAGTGCCCTTAAGAGTTCGAGAATACGCTCCGGATGGTCGTAATATTCGGCAAATTCACGCCTTATCCGAGCCGTCTCCTCTTTCAGCTCGATCCTCTTGGCTGCTCGCCACTTCTCAAGCCCTCTTGCATGGCAAATGCGCTTGATAGTCTTCGCGCAGCAAAGAACGCGGGCTTTGTTTCGGATCTTCTGCCACGAGGCCCTGGGGAAGTCCCTCGCTGCCTGAATAACACGGGCGCGTTTGCGAGTGTTCAGAGCACTTGGTCGACCACTTCTGGGAGCAGATTTCGTGGTGGTGGTGGTCTCAAAGCGATTGACAGTCTCAGTGATGGTGGCAGGGCGCGTGGTTTTGAACGCGTCGGCAACCTCCTTGCGGCTCTGCCCCAGCACTCTCGCCGCCACAATCGCAGAGCGAGCATCGCGAGTGAACTCCCCGTTCGGCGCGCGACTGCCGCTCAATTTATCTCCAAAAGATCGAAATACCATCGTGGTTTGCGTTGTTGAGAGAGTGTTGAAGTTGAAGGGTAGTTGACGCGTTGTTTTGATATTCGGAGATTAGTGGTGGGGTGTACGGAGACTTTTGTCCACCCAGTTTACCAGCTTTAGAGCCGCACGTTCGTATCGAACAACAACGTCGTCAAACATTATTCCATTTTGGGCGTTAGAAACAACAAGAACGCGCCGGCCACCCATATATACGATACCATCCCACCCCCACATCTCGTACAGCCAAACCCCACCAACACCACCAAAAACCCCCTCATTCACCCACATGTAAAAGAAGTCATTCAGGTCAGAGAAATTCAGCAAAATTATCATTCAAGAGCGCAGAAGCTGCTCATTCGTAATATCTAGTGGGCGCCCAAATGAATCGCCCCGAAAGGGTCTGCCTAGGCTCCTGTATGGCCTCTAAAGCGGCCTCTTCAGCTGAGTCTTCGTCTTCTTCTTCTTCTTCCTTGTCATCATCAACCACAATGTTTGGTATATTCGCAGAGGCACCAGGGGTGATATTACCACCCGTACTTAATACCTCTGTGACTGTTTTGAACTTCTTGTTAGGATTAGGGATCTTCTGGCGCTTCTTTGGCCGTAGCCGCTCCAGTTCAGCCTCCAGGGCCTTGATCTTCCTGTCTTTGATAATAAGGTCGGTCTCCTTAGCCTCGAACGCAGTGGCTATTTCCCTGTACTTCAGCCGGGTGCCAGGAGACTTACTTTTGCCGAAATTCATGATCTGGCGGCTCGTAGTAGGGGTCCATTGGTCCTCTGGTTCAGAGCTTTCAGGGGTTTCAGGCTCAGGAGTCTTCTGTTTCTCTTCCTGGATTTTTGGATGCGCTAAGCACTTCCTGCGGCTGATAGGATAACATCCAGTCGTTTTGAAGCCAGAGAGGATGTTTGCCTTAGTAAAAGTAGCAGTTCTGGCCTGGCTATAGTACCGAATGAAGTTGATCTTGTTAACAGGCAAGGCATCCGTCAAAGAATTTAGCTGAGAGAAGAATTTCTGGTAGTGAGCCTTCAAGGCGTTATAGGGCCCGTTATCTAGGGGTTGCATGCCGTGACTAGTGTGCGCAGGGAAGAAACAGAGCAATATGTTGGCGAAATAATAAATGGTCATGAATTCGTCCTTATAATATGCATTAGTCCTTATTAAATCAAGAAAAAATGAAGAAAAACTATATAAAATAAAGAAAAATCATATACATACGGAGGTATGGCTACCATGGCCATCTAATATTAAAAGAACAGGCTCAGCCTGATCTTCTCCTCGTATCTTGTCTACCTTTGGGATGAAGACATCTTCTAGCCACTGGCAGGCTATGTTATTCGAAGTCCAGCCGTTTTCTGAGCATATGTAATACTAATTGGCGGTCTTTCGAAACTCCTTAATGAACCAGGCCGTATGGCGCAATGGTCAAATGCGCCTGGTTGTGTTCTCGTTTGTGCAGTGGGCGACGAGAACAAGTGGGTTCGAATCCTGCTATGGCCTCCTTCTGACCCGGCTTGTGCGAGTCGATAACCAGCACACGACAGTGGAGAGACCCCATTATCGCAGAGCCCGATAGCCAAGCAGCTTGTCTCTACAACACCCACTCCTGCGAGGTTTTTCCCTTTGTGGTTTTCCTCGCTAGCAGATAACAAACACCTATTTCACCCACCAATGTGACATATATCGAACGGCTACTGCAACGATGTGTACACCAGAGGATTGAGTTCACTGGGTCGCTTTGTCACTGGACAGGAGGTTTTTCTGACGGAATCGTGCTTGGGTATTGACTAAAACCATCTGGACACTCCAGATTGGTACCGCTACAGCGAGGATAGGCTCGTGCGCGGATCTGAATGTATCTAGACTGACACCTCTACAACCTTGCGATTGTTGGATTCTGGGCTACGTTAGCCCATCCATAGTCATCCTTCAGGATCACCATCCCCATTTGTGACTCTGTCACATACGTGGCCAATATAAGGCCACGTATCCTTTCCTTTAGTATCTTGGATATATATAGGGCCATTCTGGCCGCTCCAGAGTAGCTGGAATTCCTCTCC